GCAGCCACCCGGAGCCGCCCCGCTCCACCTCCCGTGCGAGCAAGCACCTGGGTGCAGAACCACACAGACTCTGGGTCACCTCACCACCGGCGAGTACCTGGGAGAGCACAGCCACCCCCAGCCCCGCACCACCTCTTGGCCAGTCGCCCGATGTGCCGCTGAACTCCTGTGGTGCCCTGGAATCCTGGGTTGTAGGCGCCTGTGGTCACTGGCTTTCCCTCTGCCTGCACCCGCCCTCACCGGGTCCCTCTAAGCTCTGGCTCTGCACCGCACACCCTCCTGCTCTGTGGCTTCCTCTCTGTCTCCCTCTCTCTGCCTCTGTGCTCAGTCTCCAGTGTGCTCTCACTTTCTGCTCCCCCTCCCCCGTCTGTCTCTCCCACCTCCAATTTTCTCCTTCCCTCTTGCTTACCCTCCCTCCTTTTCTCTTTTCTCTCTTCTTTCAGGAAACTGACTGCTTCTGAGAAGGAAATCCCAAACACATTCTCTCTCTCTCTCTCTCTCTCTCTCTCTCTCTCTCTCTCTCTCTCTCTCTCTTCCCCCCTCCTTCCCCACATTCACATGCACACTTGGAAGGAAGGAGCCCTACAGGCTCCCTGGCAGAGTGACTGGCTCCCTGTGGCTCCCCTCCTCCACTTCCCTTCATCCTCCCCTATATGAGCAGGAGACAGGCTGAGTCAAAAAGAATCCAAGGAAAGAGAATGATGCCTGGGGGCACTCTCGTGCCTCAGTGCCACTTGGTCCAGCCTAGCTGACCAGACTTTGATCCAGCCTGCCTGTCCATAGCTGCCCAGCGTCTGGGCTTACTGCTGTTATCCAAGACGAACTGGGGAGCTTGGTTAGACTTCTGGGCTGGGATGGAATTCACAGTTCTATCTTGCACTAGGACCAGCTATCTCCTGAGATCTCTCTGTCCATCTGTCCACAGGCAACTACTGTACTACTGGGCAGTGAGTCCCCAGGGCTTCATCCTATCACTCTAGTCATTCCGCTGCATCCTCAGACCTGGTGGAAGGACACTTGAGGCTCACAGGGACATCCCTTGGGCATGCCTTCAGTCAAGAGAACACTATCTGTCCATAGCCATTACAAGCAGCCCCGGTGTGGCTGGTACTGGGCACCTGTGGTGTCCTGTGCCAGCTGCTGTCTGTTCTGGATCTGGTGAGACAGCAAGTTATTTCTGGTGAGACAATAAGTTATGCTTATCAGGCATGTGGCTGAAGTGTCCAGAAAATGGGAGGATAAGATTTGATCCAGGTCACGGGAACTTGGGACATAAAAGGTCTCAGCCTCCCCTTGGGTAAACATGTGGGGACTGTGGCTCTCCTGTCACCACTCCAGACACTACAGTTTCACCTGGTGGACAGACAGGTGACAACTTTTGGAGCTTCCTCAGCCTCTTCCCTTTCTGTGAGGTGCTCCCTCCTCCAGTGACTACCTACACTGTATCTCAGGACCTGGCGATATGGTCAGCCATGACTGCACATGGCCAGACCTCAGTCTAAAAGAAGCCACGTGTAGATGGTTTCCCTAAGGGAGATATTTGTCTCTCCCATCACACTAATTATAATCCCCTTGCATAGCTTCAAGTATGGAGGGGGCTCATATAAAGCACTGGGAAGGCGAGGAAAACAATGTCCTCTCTCCTCTG